CATAAAGCTTCTCAGGCCGGTACCTGAGTCGTGATTGCTGTTCTGATGACCGAACCCACTCTTCCGACACCAGCTCTTGCTGAGGAAAAAATTTATTTCCCTCAGAAACGGAGAAAGTGTGTTTGAAAATGAATACATGAAGGAGGGGATTCAGTGTTAAATAGAAACAAACAGTTCCAATTGAAAACATGTGTACTTCAAGTGTAGTATCAACGAAACATTTTTGGATGCAATCTGAGATTTGGGTTTGTATAGATTTGTATGTAGAATTGATGCACAAAAAAAATATGAATATGTTTCATATGAGTTAACTAATTAAGTTCAACCATTTCTGCTAACAAGACATTCAAATTCAAGAAGCTAAAACATGCAAATGTATATTTTACATAATGGGTTTTGTCAAAAGATTACGGCATTAAGAATCTCATGTGATAGTAGACTTCCAGTCTCAAGGTTTTGAATACTCATCGTATTCCATCTCCTTAAGAAAAGTTTAGTCATAATTTTTCCATTGCTATCAACTGATCATAACGTTGATACCTTTGAAACGTTGGTAGCAAACGTCCACTCGAACTGTACGTCGACGGGCTGGGCTTCAATCTTACACGACAAACTGACGAATTCGCCCAATTGAACCTGATGCACGCGTCTCACTTTTATCGAACACACAGGGGCATCTGGTGGCGGTATATTCACTGTCTTACGGTATATACACTGTCACAAAACTGTACTGTGACTGTGTCACTGTGCGGTATATACACTGTTACAAAAATTTGGGTAATTTGCTCACAATTATTTCTGACCTATAATAAATTGCTTACAAATATTTTTATAACTGAATGCCCACAAAGCAGTAGAGTAAATCTTATCGAAATTATGTTCCATCTTAGAATCTACAGCAGTATTGATTAATTTCTTCTATTGCTGACAATGCAGGAGAGTAAGTATAATCAAAATATCAGTTACAAATTTGATCATTAGCAGTGGTGATTCATTGTTTTTATAGCTCACATAAGATGCTGATGTTGATGGTGTTGGAGACCACGGAGGCGACGGAGTTGGCAGCTGTACAGGAAAAAGTGCCGCTCCAGTCCCGTGTCACGGACTGCAGCACCAAATGCTCGCCTGACATCAGCACGCCCAGCACTGAGTCGTTCTTAAGCGTACGGTTCTGGCAAGAGAATAAGAACGGTTGATGTACGGTTGTAACAAGAGAATAAGAACGGTTGTTATACGGTTCTATCAAGAGAAGACCGGACAAATAACGGTTGAAATTAGCACGAGTACATCAACACGCCCAGCACTGAGTCGTTCTCAAGCGCGCGGTTCTATCAAGAGAATAAGAACGGTAGATGTACTGTTCTGGCAAGAAAAGACTGGACAGAGAACGGTTGAAATTAGCACGAGCACATCAACACTGCCAGTGCTGGGTCGTTTTTAAGCGTCCGGTTGTGTCTAGAGAAGATTAGATGGTTAAAATTAGAATATCAGCATGTCCAATACTGGGTCGTTCTTAAGCGTACGTTTCTATCAAGAAGAGGAAATACGAGAACGGTCGATATTTTTTAAGTCAGTACATCCAGCGCAGGGTAGTTCTTAATCGTATTGTTCTATCACGTATAGAATGAACAAAATAACAGTTGAAATTAATACGTCAACAAACCAAGAAATGGGTTTTTCTTTAGGGCAAGGTTTTTCGAGTGAAGAATGGTTGGAGAGCGTTTGAAATTAGTACATCAGCGAGCCTAAAATTGGCTTGTTCTTAAGCGTACGGTTCTTTGTATGGAAAATAACAATCATACCAACAAAAAACATGCACATCAGAACGGTGAAATTTATTTATCTCACTTTAAATAAATAGGTTATGCGTCATAAGACAATGGCCGCAATTTTTTCCCACGTTGTATGAAAATGGTACAAGATTTTTCAAAATAATAATTTCACTAAATTAGAAATTAGCCGCGTCCACCTCCCACGAAACTACAAATAAAAACAATTATTATCTATTAAACTTGTATTATTGCAACGGGAACATCCAATAAAGAAATTTCTAGAAACAATTTCCCAAAATAAAAATTCCGAATTCTTTTGGCAGCTTTGAAACAACCCTGTTAAGATATTGGAGAACGCATACGAATTAATTAATTATTGTATGGTCTAAAATAACTCTATTAAACTTTATTGGTTTTCCTTATATCGCTCCTATGTTAAAAACTCGAACATGCTTCGAACATTCCTCTTGTATTTCCTGCGATCGAAACGTTCCAAGTTTGCATATTCAACTATTCCTAATCTCTCATACACCTTAATACGGTGTATGTCTAGTGCATCCATTCAGGCCATGAAAGTCTCTAAATGCAATTCAGCCTCGTGAATAAGAGCCCTTGGACAGCCAAATGCACTGACATTCAAGTTTCTAAGCTTAGTTTCTATGCATTTTCCAACTAAGTTTCGGACTTCGCAGCAACTGAAGTTGGTGAATTAGAATACGAAATAGCATTATTTTGTGTGAACGCTGCGCCAGCTGATGCAGAGAAGTGTAGAAAAATTGATTTTCTTTGAAATTTGGAAAGTTTAAGATCTCGAAACTGTTGTATTTCAACTTAATTCAATGGTGACTAGGCTTTAATTATTATATTATGTATTAATATAATTGTAATTAACAATCCGATGAACTTGAGATATTTTAACGTTCAAGAATATTTTTCCAAAAATAAATTTATATGCTCATAGTTATTGTGAAGAATTGGGAACTTTCTAGAAAAAGTTTAAAATTTTATGCTTCCGTGTTAGCTGGAACAATTCATCAAAGACGGCGAATATATCGAACATGCAGATAAATTAACATAAAAACATTGCTGATCGTTACAATATAGTTGCTTATTAATATAGAAGAAATCGAAACTATACTACAGAATCTAATTTCAGCAACCAGCGCAATTGGCTGCCTCCAGTGATATTCAAAGCTCGCACGCGCGAAACAAAACGAGTAAAAATGAAGGTTTTAATATTCAGTGCTGATAGAGTGGAATAATCGAGCCACTCTCGTTGAAGCGATCGCCATGACACTCTAAAAACTCGAAACCGTCCGTCTGCCATTCGGCAGATTTTCAATACAAATTTCTAAAAATATATTGGAACCATTTTTGTACATCATAAAAATTTTCAGACCGGGGTCTAATCCATTTGAATCTACGGTGAGTATTTTAATGCACATTAAAGCTGAATTGAAAATTGAGAAATAAACTTGATAACCAGGAAAATGAGTGTTTTTTTTCAAAGGGAAAAAAGTATTTTCACTAGCTTATCATCCTTTCTAGGCATTTGTGTTATTAAAGTGATAAGATTTGATAAGATGCTCTTCATTTACGCTAAAAAGTAACCGGTAGAGAACACCCGAGCAACACCAATCTTAAGCACTTTATTGTGAGCTTCAAGCTCCCTTCAGTGGCATCTTTGTCATTACCATTATACATTATAACAGTGTAGGCGAATTCAATTTTATATACATCTTATATTCCAGTAAATTACACTGGCAATTTTATAGCATGAAGGTAATTTTATTTTAAATGTGAAATTTTTCGTGCACATTACGTTATTATGTTTTGAAAACATATTATTATGTTTCTAGCGCATTTTCTCATTTATGGAAAAAGGCGCTATTGTGCTCGTCATGTCCGTCCGCCCGTTTGTGACTGACTTATGCACGAGAAAATACGCTCTCTGTCACTCACTGCAGTGAGTACTGATCTAATTTTTTTTCTATATTTTCGACATGCTACCTTATGTGTCCAGGAGAGCTGGTCTGCTGGAGGCCGCGAGTCCACCTTGCAGGTGAAGTACAAGTCTGTGCCTTCACGCACCTGTGAAGGGTCGATTTTGACTCCCAATTCCAATTCAACTTCTGGAGCATCTGTAGGTTAAAACAAGGAACACTTTTGAGAATGCAGTGATCTTCAACAGAACGCTTTATAAGTAAAAAGAGGGAACAGTAAAAATTACTCTACTACTTGTTTTGAATTAGTGAAATAATTTAAAATTGTTTATATTTCTCGCAGATCTCATGCTTATATTCCAAAACGATATAAATGACATTAGGTTGTAAAATATATTGCTTATAAAAATTCATGCCCAAAAATGAGAAGTTAGTTATTGATACGAGTATAACTGAAAACCAACATCGCCTATACTACCGCTTAACGTATTTTTTCCTAATTTCTAGATTCGCCCAAAACTAATGTTATCCGGCAGTTTAGCAAAATGTGTTATAGGTGAGTACTTCATGTTACTTTATCATAACTTGATATCAAAAAAGTTTAAGAACAATTAACCTAGTAAATTGGATACGTTTTCATAGGTTTTATTTCATTCATACTTTTACGCATAGATTTCATCTCCTATGTAAATTTCATAACCGTGCCGCGAACAATCTCAATGTTGTACTATTGTACTATAATGAAAGAATTACCTTCATCTTATTGTCCAACCATACAATTAAATGATAATGCCCGAACAGATTTATAAAAGGATTCTTGCGATTGTAAACAAACAAAAATAGCATCATTCGAAGTTTTATTTAAACCATTTAAACCATTTAGACCATTTAAAATTCATACGAACTTAACATAATTTGGCGCGCCGGTGCTTTCCTTATACAGTATTATATCAAACTATCGCAACGAGATAGTCTTCATCATTAGAGATACTCGTTTAAAATATGTTCATATGTTCATCTAAAATTTACCCCTAATATCGTATGATATTAGAAACTGGGTCATTAATCCAAATTCCAGGACGCTACACATTTTTCTTACAAATCACAATAACAATACCCTACTTCTAATGCCGCTTAGTTCAGAGTAAATAGATATTATTTTCATCAAACATCATGTTGAGGATAATATTTTCCATTTAAAATACTCAAAATCCCTACTTCACTCACAATTAACGTGAATAGTCTTAGTGGCGTTCACTTTGTAGTTCGGAAAGAAGTTGTTCCAAGCAACACACGAGAGTTTGCCACCATGATCCTCTTTACCGAGCACGACTTTGAGTTGCCCTGAACTGTAGGACTGTTTTCTTAAGAGCGTCCTGTCGATCTTCGTAGAGTGGCTTGGACTTGAACTCAACTGCAGTGTTTGAACTGCAGTTGACGAAGTCACTCGACTTGAGGTGCCACCGCCATCCAAGGGAGACCAGAAATTCGGATCGTTCAAGTCCTGTCAAATGAGAGTAAATGATGCTTAAATACTTGAATTCCAGATGAAAAGAACATAAAGCCTGTCGGAATATTGCTCTTTCTTCGAAAAATTTTTTTATCACAGTCATTTAGTTAACTCTTTTAAGAGAGTTATCGTGATGTTGTTAGCTCGTTGAACTTGATGAATTTGGAAAATATTAAATATTATGCAAGTAAAATTTGCTCACGTATCAATTACCAACGTTTTATTCAAGTTGCACGAAAAAAATTTACAGCAGTGAACAATATTCCGCAAATTCTTTGTTATATTTAATCCCAAGATTTTAACACGAAGTGCAAATTTATGTGCGCTTCAACTGACGAGTTAAATTTGTTTCAGGACTAAAGAATTTAAACCAGATTATTCTGTTAGTGAGCTCATAATAAGTAATTCTGCCTTTTTTTCCACAAGAAGTTCACTTCAAAGTAGACAACAAATTCAACCAATTAACTAATATATTCTTTTATGAAATTGCCTTCAATAAATCATGATTTTTGGGTTCATTAATCTAAAAACGAGTTACAAGTTTAGTTAGGCTGATTTATTATAGGTGAAAGCAGAACTCGTCCAGCAGTGACTATCATTCTAATGAATGTGATGAATTTAGTACTTGAATTAACTAAATGATTAGTGCCTTATTCATCAGTGACATCATTTTTCATCAAAAGAGTCAGTAAGCGTTTTCTAAAATTACGGAACGTTTGAGATACCTGACCTTATGACCTCAGGCCATCGAGTCAACTCATTCGAGTACTTGAAACTTTCACTATTTTTTAATATTTCATCAAGTGTTCGTGGGTTTTTAACTTCAAAAAGCGTTTGAAAATTGTTACCTATGTAATGCATCGGCGTAAACATCGTAAGCTAACAAATAAAAAAATTCGTTAACGCTTTAGTATAGTATAGTATAGTATAGTATAGTATAGTATAGTATAGTATAGTATCTTCGGCATTAAAGAGTAGGCCTGGCTTTGAACTCATTTAAGGCTATTGGGACGTCATTGTCTTTCTAGACACTACAATGGTCGTTAGAGTTCAGAAAATAGAGAAAATATCCAATAATAATGTTTAATAATACCTGAGTGCTGAGCTTCATGGCTGGGCTGTCAGGTTTGGTAAGCGACCACTCCAGTTTAGGGCGTGGCCTCGACCCGTACACACGGCAACTCAGAGGATGAGGTTCCCCTGACGTGAAGGCCTCAGGAAAATCAACCAAATCCACTGATGACGGCGGACCTTTGTTGGGAGAGAATCTCACTTATTTTTGGTGTGAGTAAATCCTAAAAGATATAGAATTTCCGATTTTTAACTCAGAAAATATTTTAAATACTATATTTTCAAGGCAAAGTCATTTATTATCAAGTCATTTATTATCAAGATTATTATCCTTATTCTTAACGCAATTTTATTGACATGATTTAATTTATATAGAATTTCGTAAATGAAGCCAATATGAATATAAATAATTATTTCTTGCATGGCGCTTTTATTTAGCATGTAAATACTCCTATTGCACGTCATCGGGTTGCTTTCACCACCCGACATTTGAAAAGAATATTGATCGATTAATCTCATGCTGTCCGGCTGCCTCTCAATTCCGAAAATATTCATTTCCGTAAGTTTGTAATAGAACATATTTATTTTCGTAAGGAATAGAACTTTCATAAGGCTATTTCATCTGAAAAATTTCACGTACTGAAGATTTCCAGCTGCATTTTGACCTCCAGCGGCGTAGACAAGTTGGAGTTGGCAGCCCAGCAAGAAAGATCCGCATCATCATAAGCCATTGTGATGTTGGCGATCTTCAGAGTACTTAAAGTCATATTCTTCTGTGTCGTAAGATCGTAAGTCGAGTGAATATCTCCATAGGGCTGACTCGGAGAAAGTTCTAAGCGATGCATGGCGTGAAAAATACCAGTCTCTAGAAGATGGTTGTCCTCAAAAGGCCTTTCTTTTTGGCTTTTCTCGACAGGCTTGTTGCTCTGATGTATGGAGTTTCTCGACATCTGGCGGCTTGAAGTGTTGATCGTGTTGAAGGATGGTCGTGAAATGTATGTCTTCTGCAGCATCTTTAAAGACATCTGCATACTGGGCTGAAACTCGTTCCTGGTTGGGATGATGTAGTCTTTGATGGTCCACCAGATTTTTGGTTGCGGATCTCCTGTAAAAAAGTAGAAAAAATAAGACGGGAAGTTAAACAGAAGAACAGAATGGAATAATTTTTTTTACAGAGATCTAGTTCGATCAGATTATTTTCACATGACAACTCTATCTCAATGTTCTTCAGAGAGAATATTTTTGATAACGATAAAGTTCATCATTAACTTAATCATGACTCAAATAGGTTAACTTAAAATTAGAATCAATAAAACCAGCACTTGAATTGTTGAAATTAATATAACGTCTGGTACCTGATCACTGCTGTTACCTTACGCATACGAAATTTTCTTCCTTCAATACTGAATGTGAAATTTATTTCTCTGGAATTGTTCCTTTTTACCGATTTTAAAGGCGTTTGAAAATAATACCCTTGAATGAATTAACATAACAATGTGAATTTCGATTCTTCACTGCAGGCAAATTTGTCCAGCAGCAACGACTCCATATCAATCAATTTTAAACTGACATAATATCCTGTAGCCTCATAATGTGTCAAGAACTGAAAATTCAGACGAGCTTGCTTAAATTTAAAACTCCAATATAATTGAAGACACCGAGTGCTTTTGAAAAATTGAATCTAATATGTAATTCTGAGAAGAAATAGAGTAATCCTAAATACATGAATTTGATATCACAAGTTTTTTGAAGCCTAGAGAACGAACGTATGTCACAATTGTATTACTTTCCATCCCAAATTTATTCTCTATCTCTGTAATTATTCCAATACGTTTTCTTTCGTCTGGATATAAATCACACAAACGATCTGCAACATTTTTTCAATTAAACGGTAAACAAATTGTACGTAAAAATCATCATGTCATTCGTCGTGCAGCAAAAAGTAATTTTGATCATTTTCGGTGTCAATAACTATCGACTGATGTACAAAAACTAACTTCGTACACCATATTGGTTTTCATCGTAATCTAGCAATTTACATGATAAATTGAACTTACATAACATGATTGCTGCGGAAAATCGATACTTGTGATGCTACGGGGACAGAATCAGTCAAAAATGACAGTAAATAAATTTTTTATCGTATAACCTATAATTTTGGCTCAAAACTGTACACTTATCATGCAGTTTGTTCAAAGTAGAGTTTCAAGTTGATTAAAATGGAGAAAACGTCCCTCTGCACTAGCCTCAAATGTCAAACTGACTATCTAAATTATTAATTTAAACATCATTTTAAATTATGCCTAATGCCGAATTTTCAAAATTCAGTCAGAATATTATACGAATTATTTGTAGAACTTACAATAATAATGAATAATTTTGAATAAAATGGATATATTTTCCTCAGCTTGCGGTGCAATACATTCAAAATTCAGTTTGAATAATACAGACTTTAAAAGTAGAACTAGCACATAGACAAATATTTTTAAACAAATAAATATATATTTACTCACCCCCAGCAGTGCGGCATATGAGCCTCAGAGGCTGGTGGAGTGAGGCCTCCACCGTGCGGTCCATGAGAGAGGGACTCGTGCTGCCCACGGGCGGGCTGGCTATGTCCTTGATCTCAGTCACCACCACAGCCTTAATAGAGCAATATAACATACAGGATTACTTAATTAATTTATGTGATTCTTTTAGTTTTCTTCATACCTTCCAACTTTCTTTATACCATATACTTTTTTTAAAGCTTTCTATTTTCTTTCGACCTTCTAGTTTTCTTTCGACCAACAATTTTTTTAGCCCTTTTATTTAAAAACATGACACATACATGCACTACACATGTTTCCTCAATTTTGGTGACCACTTTTTCCTTTTACGATTATTAAAAAGGAAACATATTCAATTTATCGCATAACATGATATTCTGCTGAGCTCAAAAATGCTCTTTAATTTTTGGTTTGCGCAAAAAATATTTAACGTGTTCTCCATTGGCGCTTTATTCGCTAAATGGATCTTCACTATTGAATTTAACCGGTCAAAGGTAACGTTATACTCCAAAATTGGTTAATAAATTTTGTAAGTCCATAACTTTCCCACTGCGATACCTGAATTCTTGTCGTCCTGGACGGAGCCTGAGTGAAGTCAACGCGGCACTGATATATTCCAGAGTCTTCAGGCAGAGCTCCAGTAATGGTTAACGCAGCTGGCGGCTTGTGGTAAAAAGAGGCTCTGGAAGCTAGGTCTGGACCCCGAGGCGTGTGTTGCTGGAACCCCAGCGATTCATTTCGAGCATCGTACCTGAGGGGTTCATTATAGATGCCATAGCAAGAAGAGTCTTGTCATAAATTGCCGAAATTATCAGTGACCATAATGATTTTCAGTGAGCTGAGAAGGCTGCTATGACCTGAGAAATTGGCCAATTGAGGCGGAAGGCATTTTTTATGAGCAGCAGCACTTCATTTTTTGTAGAAACAGTTAAAATATTACAAATAAAATTGTAATAATGTTTTAGATCCATTGCAATAAGAATATCCATCTGAAAATAATATGAAAGGTATGATGATAGCCATTTAAGTTTTAAACGATTGCTAGGAAGCGATTAATACATTGTCAGCAGGAGCATTCTTTCTGCAATTTCTTGATAATTAAAATAATACATCACTAAATAGAGCAGTTTGCAGTTTACACTCAGTCGTAGGCTCAAGAATACCAAAACTTGCCAAGTTCCCCTGAGCTTTATGTGCAGTCAATTTTATGCGGTTCATAATAAATTTACTTCACTTTTTATTTTATTACCAGAAAAACTGTAGTCACGACTTTAGGCAGTATTCTTTGGCAAAATGTTTGCTAATGTTCAGACTTAACTTCTGTGTAATTTTCATCATAAATTACTTATTTTAGAATTGTGCTCATGGTAATTAAATAATTCGTTACAAATATATGCATTCGTTACCATAGCTTTATCATAATTATTGACTAAGTACGATTTTTCGTTGTACAAACAAAAAAGACTGAATTAATTCCTGAAATACGCACGTATAAATCGCTGTGGGAGTTTTGTCTCTGTACCACAGGATGACCGCCACGGCGTCCCCCAGCGGAGGTATGACGTCACACGGCAGTCGTAATGAGTCACCCACCCTTTGTTCCACGAACAACATTTCTCCTGGAAATATTAGACGCAAGGTGATGATATTTTTTTTAAACTACGTTTGCATTGAACAACATTTCTCCTGAAAATATTAGACGCAAGGTGATGATATTTTTTTCAAACTACGTTTGCAGTGAACAACATTTCTCCTGAAAATATTAGACGCAAGGTGACGACATTTTTTTCAAACTACGTTAGCACTGACCAATATTTCTCCTGAAAATATTAGACGCAAGGTGATGACATTTTTTCAAAGTACGTTTGCATTGAACAACATTTCTGCCGGAAATATTTGGCGTAGTGAGTTGAAAGAATTTGTAACCACGTTGCATGGGAACAAAACAAGAATTTCTCGTATTTGAACCGATTCGCGTCAAGGCTCTGTGCTACAAAAATATTTTGCCTGTTCCAAAGTGGTGCACACGCTTATTTATGAATATAAAATTACAAAAAAGCTAATCATTTTGAGACCTCTACGGCTTCCATGATTTGTCCGTTAATTGTCAGAGCCTAATTACGAAGCAAATAAATAATTTAGGCAATAAGTTTGTACTGCTTATTTATTCAAGAGTTCAGAAACAAAAATATAATAATTTTCTAAAGTTTTGATCAATTCAGAACATTTCACATTTTTTACATGTGCAACAGGTTTGCCTCAACAAAAGCCGTGACGCAAAACGATTTATATACGAGAAATTCTTGTTTATTTCAATATGCAGATAAACGTGACGAAATAGGAAGCGTGTTACACATTTCAACATTTTAAAGCTTTTTCTAACAAGGCAGCATTGCGGAATATAATATTCAATGGCGGTATTATTAAGATCAAAATATGCGTTTAAAAATTACTTTTTAAAGACAACACTTCCAAAGAATCCAGTGTCTCCAATCTCACAAATGTACAATGAATTTCTCATTTAATTTTCAAATTAAAAATTTAGTTTTTCAATTTTTTTTAATATATCAATTTTTTAATATATAATTTTTTCAAAATTATTTATTCTGTTAATTGATTCATGCATTGCCTCTGACTTCACACAAGTGTGCAAAATTTCAGATCAATCAGACAGGTAAAAGTGTGTCAAATATCAGTTATAAGATTTGTAGCTGGCAAAATTATTTTTTTAATTTTTTTAATATTAAAAAAAATTTTTTTTTAATTTTTAAAATCTTTTATTTTGACATTTGATTCATGCATTGTCTCCAACTTTACACAAGTGTGCAAAATTTCAGATCGATAGGATAAGTAGAAGTGTATTAAATTTTGATTACAAGATTTGTAGCAGACAGACAGACAGACAGACAGACAAGAAGTGAAGTTAAAGAGAAGTGTTGTAAAAAGTGAACGGACAAATGATGGAAGCTCTATAACTCTCATACTGATTAGCTGTTCACAATCCTAAATCTGTGAACAAATTGATGGATTGAACAGGAATAATGGATTTTATGTTTTTCGAATGTAATTAACCGAATGTATTTTAGTTAAAGCTTCCGGCAAATAATTAATGGCATTTTACCATGCAATAAAATCTCACTAAAATAACTCTCACAAATTTTTTACTGATTAATTGGTCTTATGATAATTCTATGAGTATCGCTTGAACTGTAACGTCGCGTTTTCGCTTGTTTCTCATGAAATAATTATTTTGCAGTATCGACGTTGTAGAAAAAGTGTCAGTGAGCTTGCTAACGCATGATAAAATTAATTTGTAGTTTTAATATAGTTAATTCACCATTTGGGGTACATTGTATCTGCTAATAAACATAGCTGCAATATAAATTTACAAATACGCTAGTGTCAGTAAATTTTATTGTACAGAAAAAAAGGACAAATGATCCACTTTCAAAAAAATTGTTGTAATAAATTGACGAATGCAAAGTGAATCAAATTAAATCTCACAAATTGCCGAATGCATTAGCATGAAGAAAAGAATTAACTACGTTGAATGGAATGGCGGGATTTGAATTAATGGACCGATTGCGTAATGCGTGCGGTAAACCAAGAAGTTTTAAATCAAGAGCGATTCAATACATTACACCAATTTGTACTTTATAGTACAAAGAATTTAAATTCCACGTAAAATTCTTCATACTAACGCAAATGATCACAACCAGAGGCACTTCAACTGTATTAATAACTTTTATCTACGCAACGCAAAATGCTTAAAAACTCAACGGCCAGCACACGCCCATTGAAGTACTCAAGAAACATCCAAAAGCTCACATGCAACGCAAAGTTGTTCACACGCAGGGTGTAATTTTCATAATCTCCGAGGAGTAATGCGTTTCGCCACCCTTGAAATAACTTGTTAAGGCCTTTGCATGCTAAAAAATAATTGGCTTCAGTAGAAGAGAACTCATTCTCGGCACGCCTACAGATGGCCATTATTAGCTCGGTCATTACGATGATGAGCTTTTTGCTGCTATAAAGTTTGGGCTCGGAAAATCCTGCGAGGACCGCACAGGAATCCTTTGCGTATATGGAATATACATTAGTGTAATTTTTACTGTTTTGTTTGTTTTTGGCCGTCTTGCATGCGGGATTTAATTGCTACTGTGTAAGCATTAAATGTTTTAGGGATATATTTAGATGCTCCAGGAAGTGTTTAATGTGTGAAGTTTATTTCATTTAATCTAACTGATGAAATTCTGTAACGAAGCAAAGTATAAATAATCCCTAAAATTTTATTGTCATTGCCAAGGCATGAAATTAAATTACGTTCAATTACCTACCAAATTGCTTCTGAAGATACTGCTTTGTGTATGCTCTCCTGTCAACATAATTTCTCCTATTATACAAATTTCCCCATCCTATACATAATTTCCCATTCTATACATATTTTCTCTTGCATAAATATTTTCTCCTACTACAAATATTTTCTCATTCATATTTTCTTATTCATATTTCTCTTACTTTACATATTTTCCCACAACGAACCTAATTTCCCATACTATACATATTTTTTCCGTGATGAGAAAAGTTCGGCTCTCTATTACTCGCCCACATCTCCATCACCTCTATTTTCCTTGCTTCGACATATTATAAGGCCGATATAAGAACGTTGTCTCTTGCATACACGAGACACGAGCACGGGCGTGTCCGCAAGATAAGCTCCATTACAGCGTGGCAATTCAATTACTCAAAGTCTAGCGGACCCTGGGCGCACCTGCTTATGTTCCGCGCTGTTCTATACAATAATACGTAGAATTCATTTACATGTAATTAATAATATTATGCATAGAATTTTAATTTATGGTCAGACTAGGCTGACTATGCGTTTCAAAATTAAGGTTTAGCTAAGAAACTTTGTGCAGTCATTTCAAAGGCCAAATACAAATCAATGTAATTACAAAAACTACAATGCACAGAAATAAAAGGATTTCAAAACAGATACAAGCTTTAAAATTGAAGTTTGCGGTTGAT